CTCATGCTACTCCTTCAGACTTATTTACAAGAACTTTAAAAATGGATGCCTAAGAGAATAGTATCTGATCCAAAGGAATGACTCTCTAATGGAAGAATTGAAAGTACTCTGACACCTGCTCAGGAAAGATAATTTTCAATGGAGTGTGGGTGGGTCCAGTGCTGCCTCTAAAATCGCTCTGCCTTAGAAGGTTCCTGCTATTATCTACAACTGTACACTGATAGACTCCTTCCGAAAGGACTCAGGACACCGGGTCTCGCTAGTGGTGGATGCACATGAGGGAAATCCGCCTGCTGGTATGATCGTAAGGTGTGGTCAGGTCCAGACTTCAGTGTGTGCGTCCTCCCCTCCCCTCCCCTCGCTGTCTGTGTCGTCATCTGTCCAGAATGTGTCTGCCCTCCTGTTCTCCCGGCCTCAGAGGGAGTGCGCTGTGTCAGCCCCTCGCATCCCGTCTCTGCTCCTGGAGGCTGGCCTATCCTCTGGCTTTCAGTTGGGTTTGGCTACTGGGGGGGGACAGGCCGGATGTGAAGGTGAGAGGAGTGAGAGGTTGGGTGTTTGTACCCAGGTTGGCTGTGACCCTTTGCCAAAGGCTGCCTCACCTCTCCCTCTCCAGGTTCAGGCGACAGCTCCCTTCTCTGGGCCTTTGGGTTATGCCAATTCCTGTTGCCAGTGCCAGGTCCCTGCACCACCCTCTGCAGCTCTCTTTACACCCTCTGCTCAGCTTTGTAAATTGTCTCTTTTTGAAACTCCCCTCAGCTACCCATGTGGGTATCCTGTCTGTCTGGGACCCTGACATGCAGGAGGGTCACCACCTCCAAAGGCAGAGCATGGCTGAAGGTATAAAATGTCCCTTACCCCCAGGTCCCTCCCACTTCCCTAGCTGAGGCTTTCTGAGGGGGAGGCTCAGTCTCCCGGCTGGAATGCAGGGGTCTGGGAGACCAGTTTGATCTCCTTCCCAGGGAAGGCCCTGGGCTTTGCCATTGCCTTCCAGGTGGCCCCTCTGCACCGCTCATAGCAGGAAAACCTGTTGCATTGGGAAACCCGCATTCTGGGCACAGGGATTTGGTGCCCAGATGGTGCTTGTGTTTACAAAGCCCAGCACACTGACAGGACCCGCAGACACATGGGTAAACATTTTGCCTCTCTTCTTAGGCAATATTTGAGTGTTTCAAACTTAATTGCTGTCAAGGCAGGATGCTTGGATCCCTCCAGCAAAGCAAACAGTGAGGCCTCCAGCGGGGCCAGGGCTGTGGCAGAGGCTCCCGCCAGGCTCCGGACGGCCACCTGAGGTGCCTGTCCACAGCTCCTTGCTCCTGCGGAGTGCGCCGGGGGTGATTGGGGCTAAGGGAGGTGACTGCAGCCCGCCTGGCACCTGTGGTCATTTGTTCGAGTTTGTTCTGACAGTGAAAGAACCTGAACTTAGCTGGAAAATCAGGTACTTTCTCAGGCATTAGTGGTGGGCCGATCTGGCCGTGACCAGTGGGATTTTGCCTGGGCTCCGAAGCTAGGTCCAGGAGTGTTCTGTTTGATCTTGAATTGAATGTAGGGCAGCTGCTAGTCTGCATGACACTTTTGTGCAGGTTAGATTAAGGCAGTCCCTCTGGCAGGGGCATGCCCCCTTACCTCAGCAGGGCGCTCGGCATGGCTACGGCTGGATTTCAGCACCCAGGGGTCCCCGGGAGGTGTCCTTGTGCAGGGCACAGTCTGCCCAGCGGTACATGTCCCAGGCGGTACATGGCCAAGGTACTTGCTGATGATATTCTTGTTATAATCCACTATTCTTTTTTATCTTTCCTGTTTCTTTGTTTTGTTAATCTTTATCTGAGGATACTTTTTTCATTGATTTTTAGAGAGAGTTGAAGGGAGGGAGGCAGAGAGAGAGAGACATCGATGTGAGAGAGACACATCAATTGATTGCCTCCCGCATGCGCCCCGACCAGGGCTGGGGATCACACCTGCAACCCAGGTACGTGCCCTTGACCAGGAATTGAACCTGCGACCCTTTGGTTCGCGGGCTGAGACTGTAACCACTGGGCCACACCGGCCAGGGCTTTCCCGTTTCTTGTCTTCCTTTTTTCCCTTTAAAATCCTTGCCCAGTTTGCCCCTTGGCTTGCGCTGCCAGGTGCAGGGAGGGGCTCCTCCGCACATTGCCGTTTCGTCTGCCTCACTGTGATTGATAAGCCTCCGCTTCCATTGTCCGCACGGGGAGGAAGTGTTTGCCGCAGACGCACAGAGCCCTGCACCGCTCACCTCCTTTTACTCATTACATTCGACTTTGCCTCGATTATCTCAGCCCCTTGCATATAACAGAAGCAGTTGGATCCCTTGCCCACTGTGGTCTTCTACGGGGTGCCTCATATTAGTCATTCCTTTCTTCCAAGCACATGTTATTGGTGCTCGCTCGCCCTGTGCTGGGAACTAGGGAGAGAAAGATGAATGGATAAGACAAGTCCCTGCCCTTGAGAAACTCATAATCTAGTGGGGGAGCGAGGCGTGTAAACAGATAAATCACAGCCCATTGGTGTGCTCGCCGGGCAGGACAGGAGCGCGTGGAGGAGGGAGGAGGGCGGAGGGGCCCGGGCGAGGCCCACTGCTGGGGGCTGCGGCTGCAAGGAAGGCCGTGCCGAGCAGCTGCCACCTGGGCCTCCTCTCAGGACACGCAGATATGTGTCAGGTGAAGAAAGGCAGGGAGGGGAGGCGGTGCGGAGTCCTGAACAGACAGGGCACACTCAGGGCGAGATGGGAGGGCCATCTGCCGGAGCCCAGGGTGTGTGATGACGGGGGCCAGAGGGGAGCTGGAGTGGGGGCTGGGGCTTCCTGAGGAGCGTGGGGTGCCCTGGGTGTAAACAGGACCACGGTCCCCTTTCTGGAAGCCACTCCAAGCAGCAAGGGTTGGGGAGGATCACGTGCATCGCAGAGCTCCTGCTGTGGGGTAAGTACAGGGCATGAGTGGGCTACCAGTGTGTGGGTGCCGGTTCCTTCAGCCTCCAGGGGCGCTGGGCAGGCCCGGCAGTGGCGTCTGGGTCCTCACACCTTCTCCAGTGCGCCATGCCACGAGTCGGGGGAAACTGCCAGTCTACCGAGCACTTGGCAAGGCTCTCCCATCAATAAGTCTCAGTGGACATGGCTGCTCGTTGACATCCATCCTTGTACTCATGCGGCAACTACAGAGAGGAGTGGGACAGAGAGGAGAGGCTGGATCCAGGGACGTTTCTGAGGTAGAACTGGAAGAATTTTGGTGACCAGTTGGGTATCAGGGAGGAGGGGCACAGCTAGAGAGGGGGAGGCCTTGGCATGACCGTGGGATTTGGGATGTTGCAGACTGGGTGGGTGCGAGGCCATGCTAGTATTGGAAACTGGAGCATGTGGGTTTGAGGTTTGAATGTGAACTGAGGAGGTGGCGACCCATCTGGTAGCCTACTTTTTTCCCAGAAGTATAACCAATTAGGGAAGAAGGCAGACAGGATGGCAATGTGGTGGTCCAGGGACCTGCTGGGGGCACGCGAGAGACTTCAGGGCGCTCATGGGCGAAAGGAAAAGAGTACGTAATGCTTGGCCCAAACTTTGCTTCTTTGGACAGCGTCTCTCCCGTTGGAGGAGTGGCTGCCAATAGCTGGCAGCTGGGCAGCTAGCTGTCCAGGTATGATTTACGATAAGGCATCAGTTTCAGGAGAGGCACTGTCTAAATTATTGCGCTCTGCCAATTGCCAGGTTCCCCACTGACAGTGAACCAGGGGTCAAACAATTCAATCAGGTGCCACCGCTTATAAATTGAAAATCGGTGGGGTGCAAAATGGATTACCATCAAAATCCATTCAGGTGCAAAACCAAATTCTAAAACTCCTAACCTTTTAGAAATCACTCCTTTCCTGATTCTTCAGGATGCCCTGACATTGACTTTTAATATCCCTCAGATAAGCAAGCGTCCATAGAAATGCCCGCAGGGACTAAGAGTGTCAAGGGAAGACCTCCTAATCATGCCTTCCTGTTGGAATTTGCAAGCACGCTGGATTTATGAATTAATACATCGACAATTCTATTGGCTTTTCCAAGGGCTTCTCAGACTTAAGTGTGCAACAGAATCACCTGGAGGGCTTGTTAAAATTGAGATTGCTGTCTGACCTCAGTGTTTCTAATTCAGGAGGTCTGGGGTCAGGCCTGGGAAATTGCATTTCTAGCAAATTCCCAGAGGCTGCGGTCCCGGAACCACACTTCGAGAGCCTCTGCTGTAAGATCTAGGAGTATTTTGATAATTTGATTAACGAAGCATGCGTTGATTAGTAAGAACTTATCAGTAGCCCTGGCCGGTGTGGCTCCGTTGGTTGGGTGTAGTCCCGTGCGCTGAAAGGTTGCTGGTTCGATTCCGTCAGGGCACATGGCTGGGTTTCTGTCTCCATTCCCCAGTCAGGGGCGTGCAGGAGGCAGCCAATCGATGTTTTGCACTCACATCGATGCTTCTCTCTCTCTCTCTCTCTCTCTCTCTCTCTCTCCCCCCTTCCTCTCTCTCTAAAAATAAATTAAAATTTTTTTAAAAAAAAGAACTTATCAGTAAAGGTCCTGTTGGGCCAGGTGTTAAGTGTGTTAGAGGCTTTAACTTTGTCAAAGAACCCCGAGAAGAGACTGATCCAGGGAGATGCGGTTGATCTGAGTGTGTGTGTTTGCAGGTGAGGTCGGGGGGAGGGGATAGATCCCTTAGCTTGGCATTCCACAAGACAGTGTGTGTGACAAACACAGATGACGTCATTACGGTCAAAGCCTGCTCCCTACTGGTCTGGGGGTGCAAACTGGTGTGTTTTTCTACCCAAATGGATGGTGTTTGGTATTAGTTCTCTTCTGCTCTTTTGGAGTTAAAGTTACGGCCTTTGTATAAACTGTAGGTGTCACCGGGCTCAATATAAAACCAGTCCCTTTCCCCGGGACAGAAAAGTGGATCCCGGAAACTGCCCCCCAACATGATGGCTGCCTCATTAACGTTTGGTTTCCTGTCTGTCTTTTCCAGGAGAAATTGAGAGATGCACGTACATCAAATACCACTACTCCTCAGCCACCATCCCGAGGAACCTCACTTTCAACATCACCAAGACCATCCGTCAGGATGAGTGGCACGCCCTGCGTGAGTACACCTGACTTTCCTTCTTTGACTGTGACCTTCGGAGGGCTCGGGGGTCTGGATGCCCATCAGCAGCTTGGTCTGGACAGATGGATGCGCCTTCCTCTGAGACCTGTGGACAGTCTCAGAACACGGTGGCAATTCCTTCAAGTGTCAATGTCTGTGGGTCGGAATTGCCTCAGTTGGTTTGGATTGCATTGTAGATCTGAGGAGTTTGCTTCTAAAATTAACACCACCCCCCCGCCCCCAAATAAACAAATAGCAGTTAGTGATCAGTGATCTTCCTTCACTACCCTGGAGGCATTTGAGATTTCACCTACCTGGCCGAACCTACTCCTGGGATTTCATTCAAGCCTGTCTCCAGGTTGCGTGGAGTATTATTGTGGCAACCTGTTAATCCCCTGTGTCATCCTTTGTGCAGGTTGAGGTTGCTGTTGGTTTCGGGCCGCATTGCATTGGGAAATTGCATGTGGGTGGGGTCGCCAAGGGGCAGGATCTGGTCCTCTATTTACACATTTCTGTTTCCCCCGGAATGGTAGGTGTTGGGACCCTGGTTCTCATGCAGTCGCTCAGCAAAGATCACAATATCTGCTTCTGTTGTTGGAGAATTTCTCGGTCAGGGATCCTCAGAGACTTAAATTGTGATGGGAGGGTGACTTCATGAGCAAGCAGAGTTAGTGGCAGTTTACCCTCTGCTCCATGGGGGATGCCTGCCGTGTGTGTCAGGAAGTTCTTCAGGTGAACATGTGCCTGCTCTTAGCAAGCTCCTTGCTGCCCTTGTTACATCCGTCATTTCTTTCCTATTCCGGCTCTTGCACATGTCTCGAGGTTAAGATTCAGTTTACGTCGCCATATGAAGGGGGGCCTGTCATTGTTTCTTGATCAAAAGGATACTAAACTTCGAAGAAGGCCAAACAGCCTGGGGCCTCCCAGGTATATTTCACTTTTTAGTTTGGCTTCTATCAAACAACCATAGTTTGGGACGGGGGATGAGAGAGGCAAGTAGAATGAAACTAAACAGACCAATCATTCATTGGTTTTAGGAAAAAGCTTGTCGCCAGGTGTCTGGATGGTTGTTACTACCTGTTGTGACCTGAAATGATAAGGGCAGGTGTCCGGATGGGAAGGCATCACCCAAACGGTTGCCCCTATAAGCGTTGTCATCACCAGAGGCACCAAACAGAACATGGGCCAGAGAGCTCATGTTCAAAGACCATTCCTGCCTGGCCCGTGCGGCTCAGTGGTTAGGGTGTCAGCACGAGCACCGAAGGCGTGGGGGTTCAATTCCCGGTCAAGGGCCCCTACCTGGGTTGCAGGTTTGATGATTCCTGTCCGGTTGGGGGCACTTGTAGAAGGCAACCAATTGATGTGTCTCTTTTATATCAATGTTTCTCTCTCTCTCTCTCTCCCCAGTCCCTCCTCCCTTCCTTCTACTCTCTCTCTAAGAAAAAAAAGGAGAAATATATCCTCAGGTGAGGGTTAACAAAGACCATTCCTATGTGCGCGCCAGTCAGCAAACACACCACATGCTATTTAATTCTAATGTGATATTTGCCTCAGAGAGCCTAATAATCAGCGTTGTTAATTTCCTTTTTGCAGGTAGACATGCCAGGAGGCAACCTCATAAACACCTGACCTTATTTCTCACATTGCACTGGTCTAGTGTAGTCAGGTTACAGACGCCTTGGAGGGATGCTCGCGATACATGACAGGCCTTGTTGCATGACCGCTTAAATATAATTTAAGTTACGGGGTCATAATGGAATCTTACGGGGAAGCGGTTATTGACACAGCAGCTTCAATTCAAATTCACTCAGTTCAACAAAGTTGCTGAGTTTCTTTTTGTACCAGGCACGTAGTGGATACAGAGGCCACAGGAGGTCCTCCAGGACCTCACATCTGGGGGGGGGGGAGATACATTCGCACAGCAAACAGTTACAAGGCAATGCGATAATGACGATACAGTAAAATTGCTTCAAGCAGTGAAGATAGCTTGTGGAAGTTTTTCAGCAACAAGGAGAATTATGTTAGTGCCGGTTGCAGTCCATTGCACAGGTGCCCTTCAAGGGAAACCGGCTAGAACTCTTGGCTGTCTACACAGTTAGACGTCTGAATTCAAATAGGTCACTCATCGCAGCATCACTGAAAATACGTTGCGTGGTGCCGGCAAAGACGAAAGGAGAGAGGAGGCTGAGGCTAAGGTCTGTGGAATATTCTTGAGCACGGTGTCTCCAGGCTCCTCATTCCCGAACTGTAGTGCCGTTGGGTTGTGCAAACACTGGTGTGCAGCTTATGCTGTGAATTGGGGTGCTCACAGGTCTGTTTTTAACTGATCGGGGCCATCTCAGCCACTGATATTTGCAAAGGTTTGGGGCATCGCGTGTTGGTGAAGTGGAGGCTGCCATTCGGCGTGAGATTCATCTGCCTCTCTCAGCGAGTGGCCTGATGGGCTGTTGAGCAGACGGGGAGCATTTGCCATTCCTGACATGGATGACAGTTATTTTTACCCAGAGGGCAGGTGAGCATCTGTCTCATCTGAAGCTGGTGCTACGTGTCATTGGCGATGCTGGCATCGTGGGGAGGCACAGTAAATGTCCATCCCAATTTTCAGAGGTCAGGTATTGATGGCACTCGGTGGGAAGCGGGCACATAAACCCCGTGGAAATAAAGTAGAAACTATCAGAGATTAGCCAACTCCTAAGGTCAAGCTTTGGAAATTAAAAAAAAAATCAGACCCTAATTTCTTTCCTGAGAGTCCCTTGTTCTTTCATATTGTCAATAGGCTCAAATCAACTCATTTGATACTAGGTTGGTTATTGTTTTATAATTTGACCATATTACCTTACGTTCTATAATTTCTCTCAGTAGATAATTTTTGCCAAAGGAAAGAAATTTGATTTTTTTTGTTAACATAGAGAGAGACACATTGATTGGTTGCCGCCTGCATGCACTCCGATGGGGGCTGAGGATTGACCCTGCAATTCAGGTACGTGACTGGGACTTGAACCCTCTCGACCCATTGGTGCTCCGGCCGGCGCTCTAACCACTNCGCCTGCATGCACTCCGATGGGGGCTGAGGATTGACCCTGCAATTCAGGTGCGTGACTGGGACTTGAACCCTCTCGACCCATTGGTGCTCCGGCTGGCGCTCTAACCACCGAGCCACACTGGCCAGGGCTGATTTTTTTTTCCCCCCCTGAAACGACTTCTGGCAAATATTTTGGACTTTGGTTAAACTTAGGGTGTACATTTTTCATCAGGGATTTGCATGTAGTCATCAACCATTGGTGTGGAAAAAAATTTCCAATAGGAAAGGCACATCTCTGTTTAAAAATTACGCTGTGGCTTTGGACAGTCAACCCCACCCACGGGAGGCTTCACTCTCTGGCTGTGAGCTCATTTCCCTCATGGTCAGGTGACCGGCAACAGAAAGGCTTACAAATCTAAGTGCAAAGAGATAATAACTACCTTGGGAAGTAATAACCAGAAAACCAATCCCATGTGTGCGTGTGCATGTGGGATGGTCTCCGCATTTGAGATCTTAATGCTGAGTGTCCGGGTGATGTGGTGACAAGGCTTGGACTTTGGCTTCGACNTACAAATCTAAGTGCAAAGAGATAATAACTACCTTGGGAAGTAATAACCAGAAAACCAATCCCATGTGTGCGTGTGCATGTGGGATGGTCTCCGCATTTGAGGTCTTAATGCTGAGTGTCCGGGTGATGTGGTGACAACGCTTGGACTTTGGCTTCGATGGTGATTGCTGGTGACATATTGTGTGTATGTTTGTCCTTCCACTCTGGCTGGAGTTCCCTGGGAGAAGGCAGACCTCAGTCCACCCAGGCCTGGACACCTGCCCAGGGCAGCCCGTCTGCCTTCCTACCTGCTGCTGCCTCCTGTTAGGTCCCAGGGACCTGAGTGTTTGTCCAGCCTCTGCGGCTATGGGTGGGCTGTGCTCCTGACCCCGACTGTCCCGTTGCCTCCAAAGCTGGAGCAGGACAGGCGAGTGTCACCAGGCCAGTGAGGACAACTCAGTGGCTGCAGGAGATGAGCTTGGCTAATGCTACTCTCTGGGTGGGTTTCTGGTTTAATGTTTTGAATATGACAGGATCGGATGAGCAGTGGTCGGGGGAAGCAGACTGGCATTGCCAGGGCACCTTAAACAGTGCTGCCTCCTCCCACAGGCTCTTCAGTGTGAACTTACTATGCTTGTTCAGAGACTCCTGTGCCCTGTGCCACCCCCAAGAGCCATGAGGTCATCCGAGTGGTGTAGCCTCTGCTCTCCCTGCCGCTGGAGTCCCTTTGACATGTCCTTTCAGCACAGCCAGGGGCCGGGACACTGCCCAGTGGCATGGCAAGGGGAGATGGGTGGGTGGGTGCCCGTGACAGGGACTGAGCAGCCGGGAGTGGGAGAGCCTGGGCCCGGGAGCTGTCTCTGAGAGGTGAGGGCTCCTGCAGGGAGGCACTGGACCTGGGGCTGTGCCAGGAGACTCCGGGGAGGCTGGCAGGCGGCACCTACTGGAAGGTGTGAGGAGGCAGCCCTTTCTTGCCACCAGATCTCCTGATCTGCTGGCAGGGACTCTGGGTGGCCGCCATGGAGGTTCCCTCGGGTCCAAGCCCGGAGACGCTGTGCTCGTGAGCTCAGGGTCTCACCCTGCTTGGCATCTTCAAGATGGAAGCGTTGGCTCACAGCTGATCCCCCCCGGCAGTGGGAGTGGGGAGCTGGGGCTCACTTCCCTGCAATCAGATCTTCTCTGTTATCTTTCGAGTGGCTGAGAGCCAGGGAAGCTAGAGGTTTTTTTAAGCCTCCTTCTGTCAAGACTTGAGATTTCAGCTAATTAGATAGGATGGTCACAGGGCACATTTCCAGCTGGCCTCAGGAGAGAGAGAGAGAGAGAGAGATGACCCCCCCCCACCCCATCTCCACCCCATCCTCTTGAGGGCACTCACCTCACCCCCATTGACACAACCACACACTCACACAGTGGCCCTGGAAAGCAGGA